CGGATCAGGACGGTTTTGATATTGTAAAATACATATAATTACTGTAAAAAGTTTTCTCAATATCATATTCCTATCTGCCTCATGACTCTTCGCACCAAAAAAAAAACGCTATCACTAAAATACAAAACACGTCTTTTACAAAAAACTTGAGGACACGTTTTATTTTACACTTAAAAATTTTGTTTTTATCATATCTGTATAATTTTTTGGCAGAATCAGGTGATTTAATATATACATTGAAAATACAGAACATAAAAATCTAAAGAAGTCGTTGAAATCTACTTAGGATAGTCTAAATTCCAAGTTTGCAAAAATAGGCTTTTTGAATGGCAAACTGGCACATTTTGTAATTTCGAGGAGTTGTAACTTGACAGGGGATTCACTCATTCAGGTTTTTTCGATTTTTTGTATACTGCCCTAGATTCTACTAAAGAAAAAAGGGAAGTGTGCTGCTTGACGTGGCACGGCCCATATATATATCACACTTCTTGCATATTTTTGTTAAAAAGCTGTGAAAATACAATAAATTACAAACTTTCAAACAAAATTAAATAAAGAATAATTCTCTGCTAGATTCATTTTGGGAACGAAGATAGAGGAACGAATTGGGAAGGAAAGGGTAGGATAAAGTGGCAGCATGCACTGCAATGAGCTGTTTGAATACTGCCGTCGTTGGGAACACCGATCTATTGGCTACAACGGAGTCACAAGTGCGTCCTCGGGATACATCAATTAGAGTTGAGAAGCTACAATTTTAACTATGTGGTCAATAAAAGCAGTTTTCTTCAATACAGTTTTAGCCACTTTATCCTACTGTTTTCCCTGTAACACAAATGTCTCTACCCATCCCACAATGTAACTAAAAGAGCATTCAGAAAATTGAATGCTGCATCACGTGCGCTTCTATAAATGTAACATGAAAAGACAAACAGTATTTTGCCAGTCTCACTTTAATTCTTCTCGTCTGTGTTACTTTCGTCGACCTTCGACAGGAAGCAAAAAAAAGAGGTTCAAATGATCAGAGTGCGGTTTTAAAAAGGGATTTAAAACTACCTTATTTATTAAATGGGCCAAACTTTGGAAGCCTTCAGAGTAAGGCACTTTTTGTCGGAAAAATCGGATTTTCGCCGTTTTTGACGTGCATCGGTTGCTCTATTGAGAAGATGCAGGCTATAAATGTGAGTATTGTAAGTCCGGTGATGGGGGCTAAAATCTGCTTAAAATTGGAAAAATTTCTATTGGAAATGCAGTACAACAAAGCATGGAATGCTTAATATTTACTTTACTTCAAGTATTAGGTAGAAATCAGTTCCCTCGGAGAGAATTAGGAGAGGATCGAGTACAGAATTAAAAAATCGTTTTTACAACTACTGACAGCTAGTCGCAAAGGAAAGGAAATCGGTTTAGAAAGAAATAAAAATTTAGTTTTTTGCTTCATCATCTTTGCTTCCTAGTTAATCGGAGCCAAGGTTTGAGCGTCTTGGCAATTGTATTTTCTATACGTCTTTTCTTTTGGAAAAAAACCAAAAGCATGAACAGAAATTAATTTTGATCAAGAATCGCATAGGTCTCTCCGGTGTCAGCGTTATCCAAGATTCCACGGCTGATATGCTTGCAGAATTTATCTGTAAAGCTACCACACATCTGGATACGATTAGAAATCAAGAAAACAATAGCCAGGTAGCCTATCTTGGATATGAAGTTATTCATAGAAAGTAGATGTTAAGAGATCCGCATACTGCACACAAGATATAAAACGACTAAGAATGAAGTATTCTTACCTTTTTGAGCAAAAATTAAGCTTTTATAAATTGCAGGAGCACTGTAACAATCAAAGTTACAAAGACTACCTCATTCATGAAACGGCGCCAAAGTTGGAACACTACATAACCCGGAATGGAAAAGAATATCTGGCTGGTGAAGAGGTGATTAGTTTATACTTCTAAGCATCCCATGCACGTACCCCACGCATTTCCTTGGCTTTTCCCCTCTAGGGAGTTATTTCAGTAACTAAACCGCCCCCTCCGCTCTTTCTTACTAAACATTGTAGTTCGCAGCCACCCTTTCTACATCGTCAAAATTTGTATTTAGGAATCCTGATTAGTTTCTCAAAATCTAATTATAATCTTGCCCTTGAAAAAATTTTCTTCACTACTGTTTAGAAACAATTTATACGCAACTGCATATACACCGAATTCCAGTTACAGATCACCTGGGCCGACCTGACTGCGTACATTTTCCTAAAAAGACATATGGAAAATCAGTTTGCCTCTACAAATTTCCCGAAATTGAAAAGCTACTACCACAAAATGGCAGCACGCTTGAAAACTGTAAGGAGCGAATGGCTATTACAGTAAACTTATAATATAGTATATACTGCAGTAAAAGGTAAAAACACTAATAAACATGATAAAAAATGCAGAAAAACTAGTCACTAAAACCTGTTTTCAACGACCCAACAAAAGCATTTATTATGTCAAGCCATCACAGTGAAATCGTATACCCGCCCATAAAAATATTAATCCCAAAAAAATCCTAACTGGGCAACGTACAAAAGAAAGTCCGCCGTTTTATAAATTACAAGTTCTTCGTCATCAAAAAATGCATCAATAAGGCTACCAGGAAATCTAAAATAGACGCACCGTGGTTCTACGACAGAAATCAAATTACCACTTAATTTAACCACTGAAAGCAATCCCTCTGAAACACTTGCAACTAATATACTGCCAGCAGCGGCGCACATATGTAAGCTCAAGGTACTACAGTTTCCAAGACCAAATACTTTGTGGTGTGTACCTTTAAAATCTGAAAGACAAAGTACCCCATCTTCTGTAAGAGCTGCTCCCCATGCAGCTTTGGCATCCCATCCTTGCTCGATTGCAACGCTAACTAAATCATTAAAATCAGGTAGCCCGCAAGGGCACTGCACTGCTGGAAATAAACGAGACTCAAAACTGTTGTTCCGTATTAGAATCAACTGTGTCTGCATATAACATAAACTTTTCAGACCACTTGCTACAGACAATTTGAACAAACTCTCGTTACTTGATATAGTTTTGAAACTTGCATCTAAAAATATAGTTCCCCTGCTTACTACTCGGAATCCATAAACAGCACATAATGAACCGTCCGGTTCACAACTTTCACAACAGTATATCAAACTAGAATAACCGCAGACAGAAACATTATTACGACACTCTTCAGCTACATCAAACACTTCACACCAACCACAGTTCTCATTCTCAAACAAAAAACTTGTAAGCAGCTTATGCACTCCACAAATGTAAATATCCTTCTCATTCCAAACAGTTTTTAAGCGGGTTTTTTTGCCACAGTCATTCAATAAAGCAACTGACTCATCGCTTGTCAGAATGTACCCTCCTTCAACTCTTCTGTCTGGACGCAGTCTCGCATGAGACAATGAAAAGTTGAATCGATAAGCCTTGACGTTAACATAAGATAAACCTCCTGATCCAACCTCTTCGGTAGTAGTACTGCTTAATGTCGTCGAAGTATCAGCTTCACATGACAATTTTTCTTTCTTCACAACAAATACGGCAACTACAGCTGTTACTGCCACTAGAATAGTTACACCAACAATTAGTCCAGCAATAAAAATGGGTTTCTTCCATTTGCATATCCAAAGTTTAAACCTGAAAATGCAGGAAACTTAGCAGTAATTTAAGCTAAAAATTGAAAAAAAACAGAGTCAATTCCCTATAATCAACCCTAGCAAAAATTTCAGCTGAAGGAATGAAGAAACATACAGTGATGCCTAGGAATTGCAGTACCAAAAATGAACACATTTGGCGCTACTGAAAACATTCATTTCATGAAAATATCTGCTGTTACACATTTTTTCATGGCCTATTTGCCTTTATACACTTGACGAAGTTTCCAGACATAAAACTCCTGAAATCTGTCCATAAACCTAAACCATGAAGCCGGGTCGCTAGAACGGGATGAATTTATACGCTACTCAAATTTACTGCCATTCAAAATGAACTAAAAGCAGGCTACTAAATTGAGGAAAGAGCTGATAAAAAACAGTAAAGTAGCTTAACTCTTCGTTATTGTCAAACGCTCCAGATTTCTCAGTAAATTAACTACTGGCAAACCCCCACCTGTACCTTAACTTCATAAACCATAATATCATTGATAAAATAAAAATAATGTTGATCTAACAAATGGGTAGCGATCAGTTTGTCTTACACTCTTATCTTGAAAAACGCAAACGCTTTTGTCTTTCCTCTATTTATTAATGAATGGATGAAGCACTGCCGACATTGCCATTGCTTCATTAGTCTATCATTTCTAAAATGTTTCACTTCGTTTCGCCATCCCCTATTAATGAGGCGGAAAAACCATAAATACTTCAAACATCTTAGAGTAACGCTTACAAAAAACCATCAAGATCACCTTAACAGTACAAGCAACAAGGTAAATTTCTTGCCGCAAAAAACAAAATGATTCCTTTTAAAGCACTAGTTGTTCAGATGTTTTAAAACCTGACCTATAAACCCCTTCAACTCAAACGTGACTACCTTCCACGACAACAATTACAGTAATCAAGCTGAGCCGCGACTTAAAAACAAAAACTAATGCCTCCGTCTAGAATAAATACACACACAGACTTCACGTAAAATCATTCATCTTTAAATCAAACTTCATGCGATTAGTTGCTCTCCAGGGCTGAAACGTCTTAATATAATAATTAAAAAATTTACATATTAATAACAGCTGCAATCTTCACGTTTTATCTGAAATATAATAAAAACTAGTTTAGGCATACATACTTATTTGAGTTTGAAATTGCACAGCAATTTCAGATTGATTGTTCAGCAGAAGCAAAAACTAAAAAAGACAAAAAAATGGCATGTTCTAGAAATGTAATGTTTCGCACAGTAATACGATGAGAATTACAAATAATCCAGCCATACACGGCTAGTAGTAGGTTAAATGTTAAACAGCTAGGAACTGAAACCCAATTAAATTTTATTATACATTACCTCGCAAGAACAGAAAAACCAATTTTGGCATCACTGTTCGTTTCTCTAGGCCAACTATCGTCTATATGCATAAAGGTCTCTTTAGTTATAACAGAAGATGGAAAACGCTGACTGTCGATGACGGTTACGCGTGACGTACACTCTTTTACTGGCTGAGATTCAGTTCTTGAAGTGCTTTGTTCAGCTATTACCTTGGTTCGAAATCGATTTTGCAGTTGACGAACCGGACCCATAATTTAGCCGCAGGAACCTAACAAAATCGTACCTCGTAAACGAAGTTCCGTTATTACCTATTCCGTCGTAAATGCAACGTATAAACATACATGCCTAAGAGTTACAGAACACTGCAAAGTTATTTGCAATATTAACAGAGCAACTATCACGGTTACTTGCGTTGGTTTGGTGCTGCTGCAAAATTTTACGTTTTGATTCGACGAAAATCCAGCTGACCACCTCTCGCAAGCATTCCATCCAAATAAAAACAAGCAAACTGTGCTATTAATGGATAAAGAGAGCAGCCACGTATGGGATTAACGTATTTATCTAAAAGTAGATTTTACGTTAAAGAATGTAGTATCCATGTCACTACAGCTGCAAAATGCAAGGAATAAAAAGCAAAATTCAGTTTTGCTCCAGTAACCATTCAGCCGTTCTGCACTTCGTTTCCGATTCCGCTAAGAAAATAGCAATTTTTCCAAAACCAAACTAATTCCACTCCCCCCTCGTCACAAAACTATTAAGTTACTTAAACGCAAGTTTATTCCACGTTTGAATCTTAAAAAGATGCATTAGAACCTTATACTGATTCCACTGGCTTTGCGCGCTCGCTCCTTTCCTCCTTTACAAAGCTAAGTTGGGGACACCGTAGCAGTAATAAAAACTCGTTCACCTACTTATGTCTGTTCAACAGGATCCTGTTTTTTTGTTTGAAAAACAGGTAATAAAAGTTAATGCAAAAAAAGCTGAAAATGACAGCTTCTACACAGTCAAAAAAGCCATCCAAACTCTCGTCTCTCTTGATAAACGCTTGTCAAAATTAATGTAGTACTGAGCGGCTTAAAAACAGTAGCAAATTAGTAAGAAGCTAT